CCCCAAAACCCCAAAACCCCAAAACCCCTTATTAGTATTTCAGTATTGAGAGATGATAATAAAATAAATATGAATAACCTAACTTTCTTAGACCAGCAGATGCTCGAATTCCAAGATTTAGAGCAGACATTTGAGACTATACAGCCAACCCCCAGGGATAATAGCTATGAGAGAGTGCACCAGAAGGTAGTCCTGTCTGATTCTGAAGGTGAGGAGGGTTTTCACATTTCCATTCTCTTTAAGCAGCATTAAATTTGATATAGGCAAGAAAATAGTGATTACAAATCCCAAAATTCCTATAAAGCTTGATATGGTCTGTAAGTCTTTAGAGTCACCACTATTTCTCTTTTTGTACCGTAAAGGGCCTATTAGGGTTAGCCAAACTACTAAGTCTAGGTTGGACGATAATTCCCTACCTCAATTGATCCCTTGTTGTTATAATCAGATATTAGCCAATTGTAGACTTTACTCAAATTGGAGAGTAAATAGTTTGGGCTTGAGTTTTTTGAAAATTTCAGATATCCTCATTTAAGCTACAACATTGTGGTTTTGAGTATAGATGGTAATTTCTCAGAGAATCGCGTAAAACTCTTTACGGCAACCAGGTCACATAATGGTATGCCGTATTGAGGAGAGTGATAATTTATGATTTCTAATAATCTAACTTGATTTTTACACAAAATCTCAGAATTTACAACAATAATATTCTGTTTTCTTTTGATGGTCACCTTGACAGCTCATTTACCCTAGTAATTTTCCTGCAAACTATATGAAAAATCTGGAATTTTCATAAAATTTACACCTAAAAATAGGTTTATCTGATGAATATTTAAATTTTAACTTAAACCACTTCTAAATTTAACCTAGCTGAAAAAGAATGGAAGAAAAGTTCCAAAGAATGTTGAGGGGGAGACTACCAGATTTTGGCTATGGTTGAGACCTAGTCGTGGGAGAGAACCAGCATTTTGAGTTAAAATTAAGTAAGTCTAAAATGTCTATTTCAAATATCTCCTCTTCCTCCCAGTCTTACCAAACCAATCTAGATGAACGAATTATCCAAGAGAGGCTTGGCCAGAAGAAGGCGGTTTCTCGTCTAGCTAGCTCAATTGGAAAACACAAGAATCAGAACAAATTCATCAAGATGTTTAAAGATGATAATGTCAGTATCTACTATGAAGACATCCAGAGGCTGAAGGATCATTATACAAATATCAATGAAATCATCAATGTCCTGAAGGAGTAAATTTCTATAACAATAACTTCTAGAAATCCTAATCTGGAGAGATTTAAAGCCAGCAATGGAGTCAATCCTGGCAAGAAGTTTGCAAGAAAGAAAAGTGAAGACTACTCAATGCCACTTGTACATCAGAATACTATAAGAGTAAACAATGAGACGATGTCACCAGTTTTTGTCAGCAAACTTCCTCCCTTCAATTCAGGAGACGGACAGTAAGGATTAGGTTTCCTACACTAAAATTTCAGAAAATAAATAACAATCTAGGAGACTAAACAAGACATTTCTATCCACAAAGAGGTCTAATAACTCAAAGGCTTCAGTTAATAGAATGGTTTACACTCAAAATAGAAAATTACGGAAAGCTCACATTCAAGGTATAAGTCAGTATCTACCTCTATAGCACTCTCTTCTAAACAACTTAATGAGCTTCAAAATAAAGGCAAGAAGAGAGTAAAGGAAGTACGAAGAAATGAGCAGAACAGTAGCCTAGGATCGATAACAAACTTGATGAATACTTATTTCAAATCTTTTAATTTTGATCATCAAAATACTACAAAGAAGGAAAAAGCTTTCCTAAAGTTTGGGAATATTCTTAAAAAGGAATTCCAGAACGAGACTGTAAAGAAAACTGTTTTTAAATGGTGAAGTAATGTTAAAAGGATGAATAATTCTAACAATTCCAGAGAGTTTAAGTCTCTAGAGACTCCTAGAGAGGTCAGAGTTGTCAAGCATACTCTTCAAAAGTTGAAGAAGGTATAATAGAATTTAAACTCCTTTAGACTCCAATCCCAGATGTTAGACAACATAAAAGAAGGTTCCGGAAGATGGTTCCCAATACACGGAACTGATTTTCGGTGCCAAGAACCATGCCGCTAACTAGAGATTTGTGATAAATTCAACAAATATTTCCCAAATACTGTTTTACTTAATACAATTCAATCCTAACGACAACCAATGGGGTTTTGGGGTTTTGGGGTTTTGGGG